TTGATGGGCTTTCGAATGGTGTATGAATTATTTGTGTTGTTATTACAAGTGTTGCTGTGACCCCCTAGGAAAAGGTTATGCCCCGCCCTGTAAATCCATTAATTATAAATCCATATACTACCATAAATGTCAAGGAAAAGGGGAATAACTATCTTGTCCTTTATAGTGCAAATAACTGCTTGTCTAATGTTCTGGTCACATAACATTTGTAAACCCAAAATAAAACAAATACAACTTCAGTTTCTAGCCAAGTAGAGTGGAACATTGTGTCAGCATTCTCTTTAGGGTGGATACTTGTGCCTTTCAAGGCAATGAACCCTTTGAAGATTGAAATGTCAGAATGAAATCTAGTAATAGATTCAGGATACAAATCTACATTTTGGAATCAATATGAGTTTGACCTCTCCAAATCCATTCCATTTTCATAGTAGGAGAAAACAGCTTGAAAGACATTTGACGTGAGATCTGTTGAACTTTCATGTATAGTTGCTAATAAAATTACGTTGTTCAATGTGTGCTCTCATAACATTTCTCCAGTAAGAAAGAAATCTTTTCTTTACTATCTTCCCAAAAGTCAGGGTATATATTCAAGCTATACCCAAGGCCTTGTTTCCCCTGTCCAGTCGTATCCAACACTAGAGGTTGATGCTCATGTTCATTTCTTACCTTAGGGAGACAGCATTGTCCAAAGACATTTCTGTGATCATGTGGCCAACATGAGATATACCCAGGAGCACAGAACACAGTTACCTTCCCACCTAAGTGGTATCTATTTATCTACTTGCATTTGCACTCTTTCAAACTGCTAGGTGGGCAAGAGCTGAGGCACATAACGGGAGCTAATCCCACTGCATGCCATTTGAGCCTTGAACCCAGGCTGTTGGCTTTCAACTGACAAACTCAGAGACTTTAACCGCAATACCTATTATAAAAGCAGTGGTCAATTTAAAATATTTAAGTTACCCAGGAAGAAATGATTACAGTGGTAAATATAGCTATATTTACAGGGGGAAATCAATCATAGAAGATAGATTTTACATGCCAAAGTGTTCCTAAAGATCTGATTTCCTGATTGTGTAAATGCATATTCTCTTCAGCTTTTGGGCAGAATTATATATTTATAGTTGTAGTTGTAGGTTCATACATTTTTCTGGCTATACATGCATGGTTCTCACAATGCAGTTTCAGTGACAGAAATTTATGATTGGGAGAGCCATTGGTTCATGCAGTTGACATAAAGAGCTAAGGGCTTGATTGGGAGGAAAAGAAAACCCATAAGACAGAGGGCAGTGTAAATATTGGGGAGGTTGTCAAGTACATGAGATCCAGAAAACAAACTATAATGTACAGTATATCTCACGTGCGTGTAATGTTAGATATTTCTGTATTTCTTTACTGCTATCTTGTGGATGTCTGTATTTTTGTAGCCCAAATATGGTAGCTATAGCTAAAAGGATAAGGTAGAAAGCCATTGGAAAAAGTTTATTTGGTGAGCTTTTCTTCTGAAGATTACATTGCAAGTTTGTTCATAAATAATGTATATATAACATATATTTGAGTTTATTTCTAAAACATTACAATCAATAATAAAAATCTAAATTGGAAGTAGGAGATACTATGTTAGTTACTTTCACCAGTCCTTACTGCGGAACATTTGAGACACTGCAGAACCTTTAGAATAGTGATGCTCACTTGAACAGACTTTTCAAATAACAATGGCAAGAAATTAAGCTTTAAGCTTTATTAATGAATTAAAAATTGACAGATCGCCAACTTTGAGATACCTACCTTATAGTTTTGAAGAAATTCAAATGTGAAATAAAGATTGACATTTTTATTAGATGATTGGGATATGGTCAAGTTAACATTCATTTTTTAAATCCCAGAATATTGCCTAAGTGCCAGTTGACTCAACACTTGCATATTATGTTGAACTGTAACACTGATTTACAAACCACAACAGCTTTTTCACACAATACAATTATCTTTGAGGCTTCATGTGTCATGTGAGCCCAGCTACCTGTTTTGCACTCATCAATAATCTATCACAATGATCCACATTGTGAGCCTCAAAATATAATGCAACTATAAAGTACAGTAGAACCTCTGGTCATGAATGTGTCTGACTACGATCAAATTGGGTTCCGACCCAAAAATTCACAATCCACCCCCCCCCCACCTCCACGTGGCCAATTTTCCCATTCGTGCCATTTTTTTTGTTAATTTCCCAAATTAGGTTTGTGTCATGACTAAATCGGGTTGCAATGAATGAATTATGGTTGTGACCAGAGGTTCTACTGTATATGGAAATATATGAAATATGTATATGGAGGCTACACACCCCAAAACTTTAAAATAAGATACAGTATCTGGAGGATTTCATGTTAGGGTTAAATAGGAAGTGTTTATTGCATTTATTTATTATTGAGCATTATTCTACATAAATTATCCTTATGAACCTATCCAATATAAAATGATTTGAAGACGGCTGTTGTAAACAGTGGCCAAGATAATAAACTCATGGAAGTAGCATCATACTGATTTTGGTCTAAATAACAATAAGATTAATAAGAAAAATCAACATTTCCTACATACCACATTCACAGAAAAAAAAATTTAAACTCTAAAAACAAATGGGTTTTTTTGGTAATTTGCATCCCTTTTAATAAACGAAATAAGGCTTTACAGAAGTTATATATAATTGGCTGGGTTTCCAGAATACACTGGAGCATAAACTCTTTAGCCATATTTTACTCTTGAGGGCTTATGGAAACCTAGAGTCCTGTGAATTCATTTACAGTTTCAGTGTGACTACAAGTCAAGAAAGGTGAAGGCAAAAAGAGGATGTCCGCCAAAACAATGATCCAGTTTGATTAACGACTTCAATAGCTGGAATTACAGTGGCACTGAAGAACGGAGATACTTAACATTAGAGACCTGCCTTGAACTACACACCCTAAACTTGGTATTATCTCTCAATTTTCGAGCAATCGCATTCAGAGGTGAGGCTTTATTGGTTATCTACTAAGCCGCACCAGTAAATAATATGCAACTGTTATATTAACGTAGAAGCTGAGGTCGAAAGAACTTGAAGACAGGACGCATAACAGAAACAGAAACACGGATGAACAAGGTCGGCTCTCACATTTTGCAACCAAGTAAAAAGGATTATTTTACACGCATCCCCATCTGACGCGTGAAATAGGATCTAAGGTACGCACACTCCCGGTGCAATAAAACAAGCCAAGGGCAGAACTAAGTTAACGGGGAAGGAAGGACCGTCTCTGCTGAGAAACCCAGCCAGACCCGGGTTAAAAACGTTGTTCCTCACGTGGTTAAGCGCCTCGTTCCTTCCCCGACGAGCAACGGGGGGGAAATCCCGGCGGTGACGGGCGTCCCCTTTGGGCATACGAGGGACTTTCTCCGGTTTTACGGCCCCTGGAGGGCTATTCGGTTTGTCCGCTCCGGATCACCTGATTCTGGGGAGGGGGGAGAAAAAAAAAAGCGCCCCAAACCCGCGAGGTTGCGCGAAAGAACCAGCCGAAAAGAGTGAACCGGGGAGGAAAAACAAGAGGTGTGTTATTGGGTTTGGCGTATCGTACGCCTGCCAGGCATTCGCCCTGTTCTTGCTCTAGGGCCACCCCAGGGAACGCATGCAGCCGCGCGCGCGCCAGAGATTAGGCTGCCAGGCGAGAGCAAGCGGAGATTAAGCTAGAAATAGCGGCGGCTCCTCCTGGGCGTGGAAAAAAGAAGCTGCGCTCCGCCGGAGCTTCCGCAGCAGCCTTAGCGCATCTTCCTCTCGGCCAATCCTCCTCTCTCCACCCGCCCTCACCCTCGCCAGCCTCCTTGCACCTGAGGGAGAGGCCAAGTGCGCTCTAGGCGCGCCTTCCCGCGCGCTGGAGGAGCAAAGCGCCCGGTGCGAACTGGGGGGAAGAGGAGGAGGAGGAGGAGGAGGAGGGCTTCTCGTCGCAGCTGCTGCCAGCCGGGCGGGGGCAAAAAAGGTTGCGGCGGTAGGATCGGCGGCAGCGGCGGGGGCCTTCTCGCGACCCGAGAGCTAAGCAAAGGGAGAGGAAGAGAGACACGGCGGCGCGCGCCGGGAGGACGGGAGCGTGTTGACAGGTTCGCCGCCTTGGGTTCTTCTGCGTTCCCGGGAGTGGGGAGGGGGGGAAGTGTTGGAGGGGGGGGGGCGCAAGGAAGGCCTGGCAGGCATTTAACAATCTTCAGGATTGGGTGAGGGTTGGGGTGATGGGTGCCGCTGTGTCCGGATAACCAGACGCGGCTGCTAGCTGATATCGTCGTTCCCTGCGCATTGGAAGTGGTGGTGCTGCTGCGGGAGGGGGGGGGGGGGATTGCATTGCAGAGCAGGAAAAACCAGGGATCGGGGTAAGGAAAGGGAGCCGAAGGAATAGGGTTTTTTGGGGGGTGCGATGTCGGGGTGGGGTTGGCCGAGCTATGGAAGAATGGAGCGGCCTGCGGGTTGTCTCGCATTCGAGGAGGAAGCCGCTGCTGCTGCTGCCTGTGCACCGAGGGTGGGAAAAGGCTCCGAGAGGGCATAATATGGCGCAATGATATAATCTCTCCTCAGACAGCGGAGTGGAAACGCAGGGAGAGCGGGAGTGGGGCGGAGGGGGGGGGGGACCCGATGCTGCAGTGGAAATAGGCTGCAAGAGGAAGCCGGGGTGGATAAGTGGCCGAATGGGAGACGAGCTATTAAATTCATCCTGGGAGCCCTCTTGAGGCTCAGTCGGGAAGGCCTGCGCTTTGGAGACACGGGGTGGGGGGTGGGAGCCTTTGCTCGTGCCCTCCCTCCAACATAAATAACGGAGAGGGAGGTGGTAGCTTTCAGTACCGGGCCCGTCATATTGGTCAAGGGATGCAGTTCACTGAAGGGAAAGGAATTCCACCCCACACACACACACCTTAACGTCTTTAATCTCCTGAGTCATATTCCCTCTTTATTCCCCCATCTCTAAAACATCCTGTGGCCGCACATTTCAGTGCAAACAGTTACACAACAGAAAAGATGGGGGGGTTGGGGGAAGGAGTGAACTGAGAGCCAAGCTTTAGAGGGAATCTACTTTTAATGGACAAACCGTCTTATCTTTTCTTTTTCTCCTCCCCTCAATTGTTTTCCTCCCCCCCCTTCTTTTTTTTTAATAGAAGTGGCAGCAGTCCTAGAATTAGTTGAAGATGTCAGGCCAGACGCTGACAGATCGCATCGCAGCTGCTCAGTACAGCGTTACAGGATCAGCTGTAGCCAGAGCAGTCTGCAAAGCAACCACACATGAAGTGATGGGCCCCAAGAAGAAACACCTGGATTGTAAGCATCTTTTTATATATAGCGTGGTCTTGTGCATGCATATTTAAGCATACAGTTCAATACTTCTCGGACACTAATCTGCTGTCTTGACGAAGCCCTGTGTGAGGCCTCTTGGGAAAATGCATGTGTTGTTGCATAAGTTCTGAAGTTCTGTTTGACCATTTTCTTCATTTTTGAATAGCCGGAGATGGATTTGAATCTGGAAAACAGTGAAATATTCTTGCTTGCTTTGGTTACCTGAATTCAGTCCAGAATTAGTGTTTGGCTTAACTAGCAATACAAAAACAATTTACAAGTAGAATTCTGAACTTAGTGGTATTGAATAGTTCAGTTCAGTTCAGTTCACTTTATTTGTATGCCGCCCTTTTCCCTGGGGGGACTCAGGGCGGCTCACAGTTCAAAAGGGGTGGGGGAAGGACAAACAATTTACAACATAAAAGCATGACATCATTTAAGAACTCAACAGTCATACAATTCG